TTTAGCATTTCTTTAGTACACAAGGCATTTGACACATGAAATAGAACCCATATGCAGATTGAAATGCAGAAATTGCCTCAACCAAAGTGGAAGCAGATGGGAAGGCCCCAGAGGAGTTTTATCCTAAAGGAAAAGGGACAATCTGCCATTCCCACTTACTGTTGCAAAACTGAACGCTAATTAGGATCAACTTTTTTTTTTTTGATAAAAACTTTGAAACAAAAATACCTGTTTAGAAAATATTTTTCTCTTTAAGGTATTTATTTTTTAAATATTACTCAATTTATTTGTAACCAAGCAAAAAGTATTTAGTGTCTCTAGATATGTTAGTTATTATTCTGATTCCTACACATTTTTATTGCATACTTTGGGAGATTAAGTTGATAGAGAATAAAAACATTGCTTCAACATCTTTTGCCCTTTTTAGGGCCAAGACTTCATAATTTATCCTCTATATCTTCTGGTCTGGTCTCCCCATTATATTTATACCCATTATTTCCCAAATAGCTTTTTCTTTTGCCAGAGTGATCTTTTAGAAACAAAAAGGTTGTCGTAGACTTTTTGATGTCTTACTATGACAAGTCATCATAAATTAATTCAATCAATTATCAAATGCTTTCAACTATTAAGATCCAGCTTGGTAATGTAGAAGACACAAAAGATTAGTAAAATACAGTATTTTCTTTCCAAAGATGCAATCTAGTAATAAAGCAAAAACAGCTACCTTTATACTGTGTGGTATACCTTGTTATTAAAAATGCCTCCTTTATATTATGCAATGTGATTGTTACAGTCTCTGTGATGGGCAAAACAATAAATGCACTTCTTCATTTATTCTCTCAGTGTGCCAGGAACTGAAGTAGGTTCTTGGGATAGAAATAAGGCAACATCTGCATCTTGAGTAGTTTAGAGATCAGCTAAGAGAAAGGAAAGGAAAGGAAAGGAAAGCATTAACAATGGTGTTCTGTGACAAGGTCTCCATGGGGTGTGCAGCAACTTGTATGAACTTGGAGGGCTGGCAACTCCGGACTCATTTGGTCTTGAATCCAGACTCTAATCCCCAGGAATCACGTGACATTGATCAGGATATTTAACTGCCTTCAGCCTCGATTCCTCATCTGTAAAATGCATTTATTTCGTACAGCTATTGTGAGGACTAAATAAAGTAATGTAGACACAGTGTCTGACACACGAATCAATAACCAGCTCATTAGATCTTCAGGAATGTGTCAATCTACTTGAAGTATTTCTCTCTTTCCCCAGCTCCATCATTCTTTAAGTGTTTTGTCTCAGCTCTCAAAATGTCAGGCGTTTTGCAAGATGAACAACTGCATGCAATGAGCTGGAGAAAGAGAAACTGCAGCAAGCAGAGTAGAAAGAGCCCAGGGAAACATCCATCACAAAGCCATCCTGCCTTAAAGTGAAAAGTGCAATTCCCCAAGATTCTGGCAACACCCATGACTGAATATACCGCTCGTCTTAGTAAAACAATAAATATGAAGAAGCCTTACTTATTAGAATGACTAAAGCCAACTGAGAGTGGGAAGCCCCAGATTGAGAAGAAACAAAACCCAGGAGCTCTTTCCGTTCCATTGACACCATTGCTAATAAACATTAGTGAAGACCCAGTTGCTCACAAAGGATCAGAACCCTTATGATTTAGTGTTGGCAGCTTGCTCTAAAGATTGTTCTTTAAGCTTGCAAAACCAGGAATCAACAAAGGTAAGAGAGTAGAAGGAGGCAGAGATGATGAGTAGGAGTCAGTTTGTTCTGGTTGGTAGGGGCTAAAAATCTGACACTGCTAAAATTCCCAAAGAAATAAAAATTGCCACCAAAAGAGAATAAAAGAATATTAAAGCAGTTTTCCTGTTACTGCCTGCTTATAGAAAAAGGGATAAAAGCCTCTTTTTATAATACCCCCCACCCTCTTTTTAACAATTGCATCCCGTTTCTTCAACTGTGTCCTAAGTTCCTAGAGGAGAGCAATCACAAATCGCCTTCTCTATTCTGCCATGCCTGGATGACTGAGTAAGGGTTCAACAATAAATTCTGCTTGGCTGGTTTCAATGAATGAAAGATAAACAAAGCACAGGACTCTATTTATTATTATAATATGAACTTACATCGACATTACTTTTTTCATAAAAATAAGAATAAGGACAAAAAACTGAAAATAAGCCATATCTTGTTACTTCATTTCACAGAGACTGCTTGTTGAGTGAGTTAGTAAGAAAAACAACCAAGGAAAGTGGCCAAGTGATACTGCATGTCTGTTGCTTTGATAAAAAGAACCACCCTCCTTTTTGCTCAGACAGGCATCCTGGCTGAAGCAGCAACCACAGAGATGCAGGCAGCTGCATTTTCTTAAAATAGGACCACAAATTTACAGATTATAAACTGTGACCTTATGAAGGGTGTGAGTCACCTGTTCTACCTCAGTGACTAGCACCCAGCTGGTCCCTTAAAAACACCTGTGGAGTTGACTGAGTCATTTATTAGAGTTTTCCTGTTCCCATCTCTTTCTTATTTGCCCAGCTTCTCTAATTGTATCTCCATTTATTGCAATAAAATCAAACAAAAATTCAAACTTTATTGAGGTTATGTCTTTTTAGGTTTGTTGCCTACCATTCCTGGTTATAGCATAATCTTTTGGAAAGGAAATCTCTTGTGAGATATGAAACATAGATCCACCATCTACTTAGAAAATCTTACATAGCAAAGGTCTTGAGCTGATGGTGTGTTCACCCTAGATTTGGGAAGGGCTGGGAGTGTTAGGAGGAGTGTTGGAGAGATTTTATAAGCAAGGATTTAGTTACATGTGATCTCTTTGATCACAGAATTCATACATTCAGCTAATGCTTATTGAGTTCCAACTGTGTGGCCCTGTTTGAGGCACAGAAAGCCATGATCTCTGCCTCCAGGGATTATAGACAATGAGCAAGATAGGTAAGCATTTCTAAGAATTATAGAGTACTATGGAAGCATATTATAGGGGGCCTAACCTAGTTTAGGGATGGAGGTCAGAGAATACTTCCCTAAAGAAATTATATTGATGCTGAAATTTTAAGAGTGAGTCAAGTGGCATCAGTGTGGGTCAGAAAATGGAAAATGTGCCAAGGTTAAGAGTAGAGGGGTAATTGGGCAGCATGATGTCTATCGCATGGGTGATCTCCTGGATTATGAGAATCATGGAGCCAATGGGGGCTGGGACTGAAACCAGAAAGAGCTGGAGCCTCTGATCCAGAAGAGCTGATGTCTGTGGTTTTCATGTTGAAGAGAACCATCAGCTTTGGCTTTGTAAGTAAGGGACACAGCACTCTTTCTCTAGTATCCATGTACTCTGGGTAGATATGTGGACAGAAGGGTTCGCCTTTGGTAAGCAGGCACAGGCACACAGTCCACAGCAGCAAGTCATGCAAGTACAGGCAAATAGTCAGAAAGGCTGGGATGTCCACGGGACTCCTAGCAAAAGTGGGAAGCAATTTGAGACTAGAGCTTCCATGTAAGAGTGGATGGTATAAGTGAGAGTTTGCATTATGATTGGTATAGTAACTTTTTTTTTCTTTATTGATTTTCAGAGAGAGCGGAAGGGAGAGAGAGAGAAAAATACATCGATGAGAGAGAACATCGATTGGCCACCTCCTGCATGCCCCCCACTGAGGAATGGGCCCACAACCTGGTCATGTGCCCTGACCAGGAGTCGAACCAGCGACCTCTTGGTGCATGGGTCAACAATCAACTACTGAACCACACCAGCTGAAGCTATAGTAACGTTTTTGACACAACTTAGGGATACGGGTTTCCCTTATTACCTATAGACTTTGGATTTTAGCTTGTCTTCATATTCTCTCACCTAAAAACCTCCGGTAGAACTTGTACATAATTGTTTTTTTAAATATTAAGAATATGGACAGCTCGGCAGTGTGACTCAGTGGATTGAGCATTGATCCATGCACCAAGAGGTCCCAAGTTTGATGCCTAGTCAGGGCACATGCCCAGGTTGTGGGCCAAATCCCCAGTAGGGGGCATGCAGGAGGCAGCCAATCTATGTTCTCTTTCATTGATGTTTCTATGTCTTTCTTCCTCTCCCTTCCTCTCTTTCTAAAAAAAAAAATAAAGAAACAATGAAAGAATATGGACAAATGGGCTAAGTAAACTAACAAAGAGAATTCTCTAATTGTTAGTTTGGGGTCTTTTTGAGGGAGAACTTAGTCCTTAATCATTGTGGGGTAACATTTACTGACTTTCCTACTATTCTCCTTACCAACTCCCAGTACATAGCTGGCTTGTTTAGATACCTTGTAGGTTTTTTGCTCTTGTTTATGCGACCCTGCAGTGATAAGCACACACATTCAACAAGATGCTTTGTCTAATATGGTTGAGATATTTTAGTAAGCAGGGAGTGTCCAAACAGCAATGCATTAAATCTGTTATGCTCCAATTGGACTCTATTGTTTCAGTCATTATCATGAATATTATACTAATGAATATTTTAGACTTGGAAAGCCATAGTGCCAAAGGGATTTATGAGAAAAATAACAAAGTCATTGGCACAAACAGATAGAATGCTGGCCAAGTGTTCTGGGCTTTGTCTAAAATTTTTATTAGCCTTGCCACGTAAAATAGGATATACCTAGTTAATATCATTTCTAGAAAGCCTGGATTACAGATAAAAATCCCATTTTAATGACTGTCATCATAATGTCCACTTCTATATGTCTAGATAATTTTTACATTTTGTTGGCAGTTCATAAGAAATATATCTAATTGATATAGGTTCAGTGATCACTTTCAAAGTGAAAAATTTTCTTAATCTATATATTCACATTTCTGAATATTTTAAAATCATCTTTAATAATATAATACTTGTATTCTATAGCTATATCAGAATAGATATACTATGCTAAATGTTCCTCTGAACATAGCAATCTTTAATGCTATTTTTTCTTTCAGGCATGGTAATGAAAAAGGAGGAAGTTTGTATTTTACTTACTTATTTTTAAAATATGAAATGCTTCATGAATTTGTGTGTCATCCTTGCCACAGGGGCCATGATGATTATCTCTGGATCTTTCCAATTTTAGTACACATGCTACTGAAGCGTGCACTAGTTTTTATAAATTTTTTTTTCTTTTTTTTATTAATTTTTTTAGAGAAAGGAAGGGCGAGGGAGAGAGAGATAGAAACATCAATGAGAGAGAACGTCAATTGGCTGCCTCCTGCATGTCCCCCACTGGGGATTTGGTCCACAACCTGGCCATGTGCCCTGACCAGGAATCAAACCAACAACCTCTTGATGCATGGGTCGACACTCAACCACTGAGCCAAACCAGCCGGGCTATTTTTATTTTCTTACTTGTAAAGAGTCTCTTGATATTTGTCCTGGTGGAATTTACAAAATAATAGCTCCACATTGGGAACCAAACCATGCAATGGTTGACACCTAAGTGTTTCCATTCAATGGTGACCCCCATCATGCGGAAACTGTACCTTCTTCATCATTGAAGTTCCTGTACCTATCACAGAACAACTGCTAATGTTAGTTGAATGATTTAAACAAAAATGTGTAAATTCACATATTTCTATGAACAGTAATTTATTTGATGGCTGGAACTTGGAAAGAATCATTGCTTTCTGAAGTACAAACTAAACTTGGCTTAGTTTAGAAAGGCATTAATAAAACAACTGTGTTTTGTCTTCACACAAAAATGACAGTAGCTTGTGGTGTTATTTGTTTCATCCATCCAAGAGCAAGGTATATTTGCCAATATGACCAAGTGGTGTGAAATTCCTTGGAATACCACCAACATAACATTTGGAAGAAGACATTACTAATACCAGGGCTACATAATCTCTTCCACTTATCCAAAAATCCACTTCGACTGTTTGAAAATAAACTGCACACCTAATCATTGCAGTTACCTTCTATAAATTACAGCTATAGACTTATTTTTTAAATAGATAGACTATTGCAACCTTTCTATTTCCTTCTTACAATCTCCAATTTTGATTGAATTTACTTCAAATAATTGTTTTGTGCAATCATCCTTTCCAACTCAGATCACTAGAGTTCTTGATTTTAAGATGATCTTTCTCTTACAGATGCTGCATGTTGTAGCTACTGACATTTTATTTTACTTTTTTTATTTAATTAATTTATTTTTGTTACAGATATTTCTCCTTTTATCCCCCATTGAAACTGTCTTCCCATTCCCATCCTCCCCACCGCCCCCAGCATTGTTGTCTATGTCCATTGGTTATGCTTATATGCATAAGTTCTTTGGTTTATCTCTTCCCTCTCCACACACCCCCTCCTCTGAGGTTTGTCAGTCTGAACCCTACTTCTTCTATGTCTTTGGGTCTATTTTTACATCACCTTATTTTGTTCATTATATTCCACAAATAAGTGAGATCATGTGATACTTGTCTTTCTCTTACCGGCTTATTTTGCTTAGTGTAATACTCTCCAGGTCCCTCCATGTTGTCTCAAATGATAAGAGATCTTTCTTTCATACAGCTGCATAGTATTCCATTGTGTATATGTACCATGGCTTTTTTATCCACTCATCTATTGTTGGACACCTGGACTCTTTTCAGATCTTAGCTATTGTAAATTTACATACATTGATTGGTTTCAGGCTTCTTAGGATATATCCCTAGAAGTGGGATCACTGGGTCAAATAGCAGTTCAGTTTTTAATTTTTTAAGGAAACACTATATCGTTTTCCATAGTGGCTGCACCAACCAGCCTGCATTCTCACCAGCAGTGTACTAGAGTCCGCTTTTCTCCACTCCCTTACCAGCACTTGTTGTTTGACGATTTGTTGATGGCAGCCATTCTGGCAGGAGTGAGATGATACCTCATAGTTGTTTTAATTTGCAACTCTCTGATGATTAATGATGTTGAGCATTTTTTTTATGTATCTCTTGGCCATTTGTATGTCCTGTTTGGAGAGGTATCTATTTAGGTCCTCACACCACATTTTATTTGGATTCTTTGTCTAACTTTTGTTGAGTTGTATGAATACTCTATATATTTTGGAAATTAACTTCTTATTTGATGTTGTTGGCAATTATGCTCTCCCATATAGTGGGTAACCCTTTCCATTTTGACACTTGTTCCTTTTGCTATGCAGAGCTTTATACTTTGATGTGGTTCCATGTATTAATATTTTCTTCTGTTTCTTTTGCTTTAGGTGTTGTATCAGTAAAAATTATGCTGCGTGTGATGTCTGAAGTTTTGTTGCCTACATTTTCTTCTAGGATTGTTATGAATTCGCAAGTCATATTTAAGTCTCTTATCCATTTTGAGTTTATTCTTGCGTACCGTGTAAGTTATTGGTCTAGTTTCAGTTTTTGCACATGTAGCTGTCCAATTTTCCAAAATCATATCAAGTATCTTCTCAGATCATAATAGCATGAAACTAAAAATCAATTGCAATAAAAACACTACAAAACATTCAAATACATGTTGGCTAAATAGCATGTTATTAAACAATGAATGAGTTACTATTGAGATCAAGAAACAAATAAAAAACTTCCTGGAAACTAATAAAAATGAACATACAACAATGCAAAATCTATGGGACACAGCAAAAGCACTCCTGAGAGGGAAATTCTTAGCAATATAGGCCTACCTCAAGAAAGGAGAAAAATTTCGAATAAACTATCTAATCCCAAAATTTAAAGATTTAGAAAGAGAACAAAAAGAAAAACCCAGAGTTAGTAGAATGAAGGAAATAATAAAAATCAGAGCAGAAATAAATGACATAGAGACTTAAAAAATAATATGAAAGATCAATGAAACCAAGAGCTGGTTCTTTGAAAAGATAAACAAGATTTATCAACCTTTGGCCAGACTCACCAAGAAACAAAGAGAGGAAATGCAAATTAATAAAATTAGAAATGAAAAAGGTGAAGTAACAATGGACACCACAGAAACACAAAAGATTGTAAGAAAATACTCTGAACAATTATATGCCAACAAATTCGACAACCTAAGCAAAATGGAAAAATTCTTAAAATCATATACTATTCAAAAACTCAACTGGGAAGAGTCAGAAAACCTAAACAGACCAATAATAATTAAGGAAATAGTAGAAGTAATCAATAAAATACCAGCCAATAAAAGCCCTGTTCTAGACGGTTACACAGGGGAGTTCTACCAGTCAAAGAACTATCACCTATTCTCCTCAAACTATTTCAAAATATTCAAGAAGAAGAAAGACTTCCAAGCTCTTCCTAAGAGGCCAGCATAATCCTAATCTGAAAACCAGCTAAAGATTCTACAAAGAAAGAAAATTACAGGCCAATATCCTTGATGAACATAGATGCCAAAATCTTCAACAAAATCTTAGCAAATCAAATCCAGCAATATATTAAAAAAATTATACACCACAACCAAGTGATTTATCTCAGGGATGCAAGAATGGTACAATTCATAAATTGATAAATGTGATACACTACATAAACAAAATGAAATATTAAAATCATGTGATCATATCAGTAGATGCTGAAAAAATATTTGACAAAATTCATCTTCCATTTCTGATAAAAACTCTCAGCAAAGTGGAAATAGAAGGGTCATATCTCAACATAATAAAGACCATTTATGACAAACCTACAACCAACATCATACTCTATGGGCAAAAACTAAAAGCATTTCCCTTAAGAACTGGAACAGGACAGGGATGTCCACTTTCACCACTCTTATTTAACATAGTACTGGAAGTCTTAGCCACAGCAACCAGACAAGAAAGAAAAATACAAAGGATCCAAATTGGAAAGGAAGAAGTAAAACTGTCATTATTTGTAGATGACATGATATTGTACATAGAAAACCATAAAGACTTCATCAAAAAACTACTAGATTTAAAAAATGAATTTGACAAAGTAGCAGGATACAAAATCAACATCTAGAAATCATTGGCATCTTTATACACCAATATTGAACACACAGAAGGAGAAACTAAAAAATATCACATTTATCATTGCAACAAAAAAATTAAGATACCTAGGAAAAACTTAACCAAAGAAGTAAAGGACCTATTCGCAGAAAACTATAGGACATTGAAAAAAGAAATAGAAGAAAATATTAAAAAGTGGAAGCACATACCTTGTTCATGGATTGGAAGCATTACCATCATTAAAATGTCCATACTATTCAAAGCAATCTATAGATTCAATGCAATCCCCATTAAAATACTAGTGACATATTTCACAGAACTAGAACCAACACTTGAAAAGTTTATATGGAATCAAAGAAGACCTCGAATAGCCACAGCAATCTTGAAAAAGAAGATCAAGTTAAGAGGGATCACAATACCAGATATCAGGATAGGCTACAAAGCCATTGTAATCAAAACAGCCTGGTACTGGCACAAGAACAGGCATATAGATCAATGGAACAGAACAGACAACCCAGAAATTGACCCAAGACATTATGCTTAATTAATGTTTGGCAAAGGTGGCAAGAGCATACAATGGAGTAAAGACAGCCTCTTTAATAAATGGTGCTACTGACATTTTAAAAGCACATGTATGATGGTGTTGTCATCTACCTGCTTATCACATTTTATTAGCCTCTCTTCCTTTGTTCTGAGAATTCATTCCAGATATAACTTATAACAATCTTCATGACTTGGTCCCTATTTACATGTATTTTACTTATTTTTAAATGTATTTATATACATTGCTTATCTCCACAAAATAGAGATAAGCAGTTAATCAGTCTCAGAGTTCAAAACATTGACTATAAGGTTGCTCATGGAACTTAGTCAGACCTTCAAGGAGCTTAGTGAGAACCTCAAAGAACTTAAGGATAACTCCAAGGAACTTAGTTAGAACATGAAAAACATAAAAAAAGGACCAGTCAGAAATGAAGAATGCACTAACTGAAATAAAGAATAATTTGCAGGGAAACAATAGTAGAGTAGGAGAAGCCAAGAAGCAAATCACTGATTTGGAATATAAGGAAGCAAAAAATACCTAATCAGAACAGCAAAAAGGAAAAAGAATAAAAATTTGAGGATAGTGTAAGGAGGCTCTGGGACAACTTCAAGTGTGCCAATATTCACATCATAGAGGTGTCTGAAGAAGAGAGAG